TTAGTCATTGGAGTCGTACCTTGAGCTGGGACAGGAGTTCACTACACTTGTCAAAATCATTCCGCACAAACGCCGCTTTAAATCTTTCGAATGCTTGTGAAACTTCTGTGATTTTCGGATCCATTTCTCGACGTTTTCCTTGTTTCGATTTCTCTGGGTTTTTTAAGATACAATAGTATTCTCCTTTTCTTTTCCGCACAAGAAAACACAAGAAAATTGAATGGGTTCTGAGAGACCGGGTGGCAGATTCGGGTCATATTGACCAGGATGTTTGACTGGATTGGCCCGTATTTAAAAAGGGTAAAATTAGATCCCACCAGAATTTTAAAGATCATTCTTAAATCTAGTAAGAAGTTTAATTAAGTACAAATCAGGTAATTAATATATAATAACAATATTATAAAAGTAAATAAACACATTCCCATCCTCCTACCTAATAAATCAGGTTTTCATTCCATAGTTTACACTCGAGTGTTTCTCTCTGCAACAACTCCAATGACTCTCCATGCACACCCACTCCGACGATCTAGTGCTTGGTGACGGCGGCTGCCCACCAATAGATTTGTTATTTTCTTCTCTCTCTCTCTCTCTGAGTTTGATTTCTCCGATGGATATGGTGGCTTGTGTGGTCGATGGTTGCTTTGGTAATTTTTGTACGATTGTTGTGGTTGTTGTGATGGTGATTTGTGGTTGATGTGGGTGTGGTGGTCGTTTTAGAATTGTCGGCTGGCAACTGTGAAGGTGTGGTAGTGGTGAAGTGGTGGCGCTGCTGACGATAATGGTGAGTTGATGTTGGTGTGGTGGTAATAGTGGTGATTGTGGCGATGGCAGTGATGATGATGATGGTGACTATAGTGGAGTAGGAAAAAAGAGTGTGGTCTCTGGGGTGTTGTGACCATTGGTTAATTTTATTTTTTGGGTTTTGGATCTAGCATCTGAATGGTATTTTTGGTGGTGGTTTGACTGTGGAGGTGGCGGCTGCGATGTTGGTGGTGTAGTGATCGATCTGTATTTTCGAGGTTTTTTGAGTTTTGGATCTGATCAATTTGTATTTTGGGGGTTTTTTTAATTTTTGGATGTGGTGACGGTTTTTGTTGGTGGTACAGGTGGAGGTGTTGACGGTGGTGGCGACGGATGGTCATGGTGATGGTGGTGGTGCGATGGTGGTGGTGTTGTGGTGTTGGCGAGGGTGATCGCAAGTTGTGGTGGCGGTGAACCAATTATTTGGTTATATGTGACCAATTATTAAATTGTGACATTAAGAAATGATAACTTGTAATCGAAATATAATTTGTAACCAATTATTTAGACATCTGTGACCAATCATTTGGTTGATTTGTGACTAAAATATGATGTGTCTGTGACTAAAAAATAAATTGTGACCAATAAACTCTGACTTATATGATTCATAGATAAAATGTGACCTGTAATTTGAATTATTTGTGACCTCGAAATAATATATAACCTATAAAATTTTTGATTTGTCACCAGGAAATAATCTGTGACCAATTAGTTTGACGATATGTGATCAGTAAATAATTATGTGACATATAGTTATGAATTTGTGACCATTAATCATGTACCTGTGATTTTATTACTTTCATTTAATAAATATTTTTAATTAATTAAATACATACTTGATTTTTGAATTTTCAAACTATTTACTTGATTTTTGAATTGGGGTAAACATTAGGCCTGAAATGTGATTGTTTCCCTTAAAAAAAGAGTATTCAAGAGCAGGCCCAAGACCAGGATTACCATAATAAAAGTTGAAAAAAAAATCACTATTAAACCCCAACCTGTGAATAATATAGTAAGTCAGTCCTCAAACTTTGAAAACATACAAATGACCATCGATAATTTATTATACTTGCAAAGTGGGCACCTTGTCCCAAATAGTAAATGTGGAAAGGGTGAGGAACATGGTCCTTGTTCTGTCTCGAAATTTTCTTATTTTATTATACTTAACCCTTGTTTGGTGGGGATTAAAATTATATTTTCAATAAAATTTGCTAAATTTGATTAAATATGTTGTTGAGAAAATTAAGAATTCTATGAAATATATGGTTAAAATTAATTATTGACTTTGATTTATATTAAAATATGAATTTTAAGTTTTTACAAAGCTGAAGCTTAATTTTTTTTTGTTATATAATTTAAATAGCATTTAAGAAATAAGTAATTAATTAAGCATGACGATAAATGGAAATTCACAAATTTTCAATCATAAATTTTATTAAAATTTACTAATGATTTCATTTTAATTCACATTAAACCAGTGCTTACTTTCTCAAGTTTATTTTAGATATACATGGTTCCATTTGATTCTTATTCCCAAATAACTGAATCGAACCATGAACCAAATTGTATTTTTTTTTTTTCAAAATATGAACCAAATCGAAATCAAACTATTCGGTTCTAGTTTGGTTTAGTTTGATTCTTATTTCAATACTAATTGAGAGAGAGAATGAACATTTGAGGAAAAAAATCGAAGGTTGAGTCTTCAATTTAAAAAAATCAATGCATTGATGGTGCTGAGAAAATGAGTAATGAACTAGTTTTTGGTGTACACATTGAGAAATGAGAAATTTGAGGTACATGATCTTTTTTGTTCTGATTTTGAAATTTGTGATGTGAATTGTAATATACTAATTTGTAAAAGATATATACATAAAAATGATATAATTTAAATATTGAGTTTTATTCTTATTTCTATAATTATAATCAAACTAGAATAAAAAAAATGAAATGATTCTCAGATATGAGAATCAGAACCATTAATTTTACTTTATAGAACGAATCGAACTACTCCATTTGGTTTGGTTTTAATTTGATTTGGTCATTTTTTCCACCCAATTTTTTAGTTTGGTGGAGTTTGGTTTGAATTTTTTTGTTTGTGACAATTTACATTAATGAAATTCAATTTTCTTTAACAAAATAAAAAAATGTTAACCACACAATTGGTTGAAGAGAAGGAAAAGAGAAAAAAAAACTTTTAGCTAGTATTACCGAGTTAATTGTTCTAGTGGTCGTTGAACTTTGGTTTATGTCTTTGATTGGTCATTGAAATTTAAAATGTTAAGTTTTTATTACTGAACTTAGGTCAATATTTTCGATTGCTCAATGAACTTAGATCCATGTCTTAGATTGTTCATTAAAATTTAAAATGTCTAGTTTTGACTACTGAAATTTGGAATATGTCATACGTCACTCACTAGTATAACTGTTGAATTTTGAAAAATATCGAGTTTACAGTAAGTAATGTACAATATTTTTTAAAATCCAGTGAGTAATGGAAGATATGGACTTAAATTAAGTGATCAAAATTCGACATTTTAAACTTTAGTGACCAATCAAAATCATGGACCTAAGTTCAGGGACTATTAGAACAATTAACTCAGTATTTATCCTACTTACCTCTATAAGGCCTAAGCTTCTAGTGGAGATCGACGAGTAAATTTAATGAATGCTCACCAAACTTTACTTCATATTACTACTTGCTTACCCAACTTACCTTGATTACCCATTGCTCACCTATCTATCCAATACCTTACCCGTCCATCATCCGTCTCATCTCCCTCACATTCACTTAACGAAAAGTGCCACGTAGCGGACGGAATCCGACGTGACACATAACGGAAAGCCAACTGGGCCAAAAAAAATAAATGGCAATTTCATTTCTCTGTAGAACATGTAAAACATGTTTTTCTCTGAGAAAGAATTCACTTTCGCTAAGCACAACAGGAAGTGAGGAACCCTCATTTACGTTCATATGTATTAAGTTCTACCAAATCCAAAGTTCCACCCAATTTCTCTGTCTTCCCCTCATGTTGTAGCTGTAGATATGGAAAATATAGAAAATCCATTTAGCCTTCTCTCAAGATTCAGGGAAAATATATAATTCACTATACTATTGAGTGTGTTGTGGAATCAAGATTCAAAGTATCCCCCAATTTCTCCCCTCTCTCAACGAAAAATCTCTCTGATACAAATATTGCAGATATCCTTTTGGGCTGATTACATATGATATTAGTACAGTGCTCCTCAAATATTTTAAATCGAATATCAACACTGAAAATTGAAATTCAAGATTTCAACTCGTAAATTGGAGCTTCTTCTTCTTCCTCCCCTGATTTCTTCTTCACTTTTCTGGTTGTTCTACTCATTCTCTTTCCCTAGCCATTCCTTCTGTAATAGGATTCGAGGGTGATTCGAGTTTGTTTATGACTTCATTTTTGGGATTGGGTGATTTGTAGGGTTCTTCATGGATTTGGGGGTGATTTAAGTTTCTTTTTGACTTCCTTTTTGGGACTAAGCATGGAATCAATTGACGTGTTTTTCCCCCCTCAATTTTGGCCCAGTTGGCTTTCCGTTATATGCCACGTCAGATTTCCATCCGCCATGTGGCACTTTCCGTTAAGTGAATATAATGGAGATGATATGGGTGATGGATGGGTAAGGTATTGGATAGATGGGTGAGCAACGGGTAATGAAGTAAAGTTCGATAAGCAAGTAGTAATATATAGTAAAGTTTGACGAGCATTCATTAAATTTACTCGGAAATGGACGCAGAGAGGGAGAGTAAGGAGATAATGGCAAGGAACGCCACCGGTCGCGGCTGTAATGATGCCATCTACTCACTCTCATTGCCAACAACACCGTCCTACAAGTTCCCCATAATATCCAAACATGCTCAACTTTCTCTCTTAGTATTGTTCGTGCACAAATTTTTACACCGACTCCGACTTACACCACATGTTCTTCTTCAATTCCTATTATAGAACAAGAGGAGGAAATTGGGTCTTCTATGAACAATAATGTCCCTGTCCAATGTGAATCCGTACTGGATTTTGATTCTCTCCCTTCTCTCAGGTGCGTGAAACTGATCTCTGAAAACATAGTTTTGGAATATCTTGTTGTATATAATATTTATGATTCTTCATTCCAATAATTATTCGCTACATTGATGTTAACGTTCTAATTAGATCCCTTTAGTTTGCTGTAGATATTTATCTTTTTCTTTCGTTAATTAAGTCAAAATAATTCATGAATACGTGCTACTTATACCAAAATGCGTGCCCTAAAATTTTTAACTGAAGCTTAGGACTGTCATGCAATTGAGATCCTTTATGCAGAGTACTTTAAATGCCTTCTCTTTTCTTTTCCCAGTCTTTATATAGTGAGTTATGGCCTTATTAATATTAGCTACTATGAAATTCAGAATAAGGGCTAAACTTAAAAAA